CGTGGTTGCTCCCGCGCCCCAGCGTGCTGGAACTGCGGATCAAACATGCACTCGGAAGCCGAGTGCAAGGCCCTCACAAAATGTCGCAACTGTGGGGGACCCCACCGATCGGATTCCCGGGACTGCAAAGTCAGACCCAGAAAGTCTGGACCGGTGACCAAAGAGCAGCTCGCGTGGATCCGCCACATCGAACAAGGGGAGTTCGCGAAGGTGGCACGAGCACGAGCAACAGCAAAGAAGGCTGAAGAGGCAATCACCGCCGCTGCAAAGGACGTCTCGATGGCCGAGGCTACAGGTTTCGGAGTTCTGGAATTTGAAGAAGAAGTTTGAGGACACAGCAGCCTCGACAATGTCCCTTTTGGGGCATATTCTAACCAATAGCAGGATACCGGCTGGATAAAAAGTGCCTGCTATCTCATCTCTTGCTCTCAGCGGAGATTGAGTAAATTTGTCATTTGGAAGATGTGGCAGGAAAGGGAACGGGCGAGAAGCGCGGGATCCGGACCACACGAAAAATCTTGTAAATTTGATTTCAGTCTTTGGCTTTTAGTTTTGATTTTAGTTTTTGATTACAGTTTCTGAGTTATAATTTACCTGCTACTTTTTCTGTAGCGGGTCACGCGGTTGGAATGAGTTGGGCCTGTAAGCAGTGATCCCCGCCGGCTCCACCAGTCTTGTACCGATAGTGGACCTAGAGCCTTAGCTTAGGACTTTAATATAATAAAAAAAAAAAAAAAAAAACCCTTCATCAATTACTTCCATTAACCATCACCTGACTTATCTCTGTACTCCATAATTTCAACACTAGATGTCTGGATTAGGTAATCAAATCCTTTAAGACGATATTTTTCATTCACCCGATTACATCGTCTTAACAGTGGTTTGACTGCATTACACCCCATAAGAGACTGTACCAATTTCGAAAGCTCGTTCATGGGACGCATTCGAAGACCAAAGCTGCTCTTTCCCACCAGCCGGCATAAGATAGCTATTTATATGCGTACCTTACCAGACCAGTTGTTAGACACGAACCAGCAACCCACATGTGCGGCCGAGATGCTTATCAAACCTCCAGGGTCGTCGGTACTTCTTAGCATCGCGAAGATCCCCGCCCAATAACGAACCATGTGGCAGAATATTCTCTACAGATTTCCCTCGAGCCGTCGTAATTCTCAAAATTAAGCATCTACAATCAGGGTGCCATGATTTAAATTTTACGTGGGGTGACAGCGGCAGCTACGGTGTTTACGTTGGGATTACTGACCTTGGAGGCTGGAGAAGCGGAGGGATTAGAGCTATTAATGGCAAATCCTACACGATGGCTCTTGGGCCTGAAGATATATGTAGGGCTGTAGCTGTTAAAAAACACGCTGAAATAATTGGCTGACTGTAGCTAACTGATTTCCGAATCACCACAATATCAGTTATACTATTAGATGGGTCTTGTGTGCTGGAGGGAATCTTGTATCTCGAGCTGATAACGTAGACAGCCCTTGTTTGCCATACGGTCAAGGATATGTTCAAATCTGCAAAACTGGTGTCTCAGCTTGATATATGCGATGCTATATCTTCCACATCTCTTGAACTAATTTCTACAAACCACGAAGCTCAATCTCTTCATCAAAATGTGCAGTTCTTTTGTTGGTGTAGTCCTTCATAGTCATAGACTCAGCAGAGACTTAAATTTAATTGTATTCGTTGGTGAAGCTAGCGATGACCGGTGACAAGTTTTTGCTACTTTTACCCGGTGTGTAATCGCTATTCGTGTTGTGTGATATTTATCTTATGATTAGATTATACAAAGATACATGATAGAATAGGCATCATAACTGTATTGAATGTAAACTTTTAGACTCATATTTGACAGTATATTACGTACCCTGACAGCAGGCTTCAGTTGCGGAGGATTAGACGTCCTCTTAAATCCTTGGTAGTAATTTCGACCCAAGAATTTTTGGAATGCTTCAGTAGGGTTTAAAGTCAGTGTAAGTGGGAGAGATGCAGGAAAAGTAAAAATGATAAAGAGTGTTGGCAGTTTTCACTCTCGCATTTGACAGACTTGAGTCTGTCTGGCTCCATTTTTGGGGTATGGACATTTGATTTAGCTGTGTTGTGTAATCACCAAATATCTATAGACCGGAGCGTTTGCCCTTTGTTGGATATTAACAGTTGAGGTAAGGGTGAAAGCCTGTAAGACAAAGGTCCCGAGTGGTATCAGAGAATACATTCACTACATGAGTAGTCCAAATTTCAAACTGAGTAATCATAGTATATAGTCGTTGTGGAAGGACTTGCCTTCTCTATGTCATGATCTATGTGTGCTAGACTTACGCCCGTCACGAATAAATACCTATCCATCTTCAGACCAGAGTTCGACCCTAAACTTTCCACGTCGCTCCTCCCGGGCGCCATCTTTATGAAAACTTTCCTACTCACCCTTTATCAAAACTGAATCTCGGCTTTGGCTGAATATTTCACGCCCAGATACGAAGAGGATACCACTGACTGGTGTTCAATGCTAGTCCTCCTATTGAGCTAAATTCATACAGGACAAGCGGCACACTTTAGAATCAATTAAAAAATCGAACACCAAAGCGAAACTAACCATTAACTAAGTGCAGGCGACACTATTAAGACCGTTTTGGTTGGATGGTGCGGTGGCTTATCATCTCGATCGGTCTCCCACATAGATTCTTGATAGCTTGGACACATATCCCACTTGAGACAGGAGATGCCTAGTTTGAATCCCGCAAAACACAACCACATATCTGGTGGTGTTCGCGTACACGGATGACGAAGGCATGCTTGGATGATCAAAGCTTGTGAGAGGTCTTATGATTGGTACTCACAGAGGAGGGTTGACTGTTTGTGTCAGCAAGCATACCTCATAATGGTATTTGCAAATGAAATGCATAGTATGATTGTGTCCAACGTCAAAAGAGCCACCCAATATTTATACATAGCACCGATTATGTGTTGTGGATAGATGGCTCCATACACAATTAGAATCTGATGCAAAAAAAGAAGTCGTCGATTTTTGAGATTCCCGAGGCCGCTATGGACTTCGATTCGGTTGCGAATCTTCTTGGCTTTCCAATATACCCTAAGCATACCGAGAGATTGCATCGGCACTGTTGGAAGGTGAATAATTATTCTATTACGGTTGTCTCAGTTAGTCTTTAACCCAAGCAGTGCGACAAAAACCGACCAAGCCAGGTTGCTAAGTAGAGCAACAATAGACAGTTGTGAGACAAGGAATCAGGCTCACCAACGAAGTATGGAGTGAGTGAGCTGAAAGGATGTGAAAATAGCCACTACCTACGGTTTTCTTACTTCTCTCTCTACACAGTTTAATCTTCAAGGTCATTCCAAACAACTCGGTTTTGTCACACGGCTATCATGGACTTCCCTCCCTGTGGTGTATTTCCGAAAAATAGATATTTCGGGAATCTTTTGGTTAAGCTTGGATACCTAGAATACTACAAGAATTGATGATAACTTGGCCGTGTGAGATTTTGATGAGCTGCTCCTCGACTCAGAAATAGTTGATTACAGGTCCAATTTGATTTTGTCGAAATAGCCCAGATAGCAGATTTTCATGGAATGATCATGAGGGTTAAAATGATGGATTACTATTAGCATTCAATTCTTGCAGGCCTGAGTAGAAGGAGCTAACATAACAGTGAACTATGAGCATTTAAATGATAAAGCGTGGTCTACAGTCAAGTTGCCTTCTTCACGCAACGTCTTCTCAGTATTATTCTCATTCTAGACATTCTATCTCTTCCTTGTGAAGACCACTTCGAGCCCGTACTCGTTTCAGATCACAACACGCCCTCTATTTCCTTTTGTGGGAGACCTTCACTCCAAACTCACTAATACTTGTACCCTGCGGACAAACAGCATACACGCTCCTCGAGACAGATCCCAGTGACGTCTATTCCCCGAATATGGTTTTTGAAAAAATCAAGACTACGTAAAATGGTTTATTCACTTGCATGACTCTCGTGTCGGAGAGTACGCCTTTTAAAACGAGATGATAATAGATTTAATAGATAAATTGATGAGTTGGTCAAGGTTATCTACCAGGGGAAGAGGTTGAGTGTGAATGATTGCTGAGGGAAACGTCAATTACGATTTTCCTGGGATGTGCACTAGTGGTGCATAGCGACCTACTTCTCTATCAAGGGTAATCACAACTTACCTGAGAAGGCACGTTGTGATTTTATTCACTCAAGCCTTGCAAGATGAATATTCGTACCTGGCTGAAGAAAATGGTTTGCAAGAAAACCTGGTGTTCATTCCAGTAATTCTCAATGTGATTGGTGCAGGAAATATATCTATAATTCTACCCGAAAGTCACATGCTCCAGACCGTCATCCTATCTACCTGTGAGTCCGAACGTTTCAATACATATTAGCCAAAGCTAACGGGAATGACTTTATGTTATTTTGCTTGCTTTACTTGCCAAACTCGGGTGATATCTAAACTATAAACCCTTGTTGCTAAAAGTTGTGACCATTTTCTTGGAAATATACAATCGATTTATACAGCCCTACTTAGGAATTGAAGGGCCCCGGGTTGGCCAAATTCCTATAGGTACTTAGCGCTACTATTTGTGGTGTAAATTGTCTGTGTCGAACTTTTTCAGATGCGAGGATAGCAGTGAAGTAATTATTACTGAGATTATCGAGTAGTTTTCATCATTAGGTTGCATTAATATCAAAAACTTACAAATTTCAAAATGCTTCGAAACGGCTGTTTGTGGTCTAAGGAGTATTCTGCCTGAACTCATGTCGCAGTATGTATTCAGCCCACAACAGATATCGCGTTTGTGTTTCAAAATAGTTTGAGATTTTTCGAAAGAATTGATATCGTTTACATACAGAAGAATTTCTGCTTTAGATTTGATGGTTACTTTAAGATACTAGAGCCACTTTTTATCCACTAGTACGCTCCTTATGCACACTTGTTGATTTGTTCAGATGAAGACCACTGGTTTAATTAACTCCAGAAAGGTTCTTGGGGTTGATCGAGTCGGCTTCTTTGAATTTGCCGTTCAAGGTCAATCCTGGCCCGTGGGTTGAGCTGAGCACTACCTCGGCGATCGTCTTTGTGACCTTTTCCGCAATTTGAGCCATATCAGTCTTGATAGCGGCCATGAATGCGGTAAGATTTTTCTGTAGTTGGTGAGGCGAGTGGCCTAGCTGCCCAACGGCTATCCTCAAAACACCTAGTTTCTCTCTGTATTCGGCACCACCGACCATATCTTTTATGAGATCAGCCGGATTTTTAACTACGGTTCCCATCTTGGTGCTAGGCATTAAGCCCTTGGGACCTAAAACTCTGCCCAGTTGAGCCTTGTTTAACTTTTCGAGAGAATCCAATTGACAAATACATCGGTCGAATTCGATCTTTCCATCTTTTACGGCCTCAAATATTGATTCCTCGCCAACTAATACAGCTCCTGCTTCCTTTGCCTCAACAGCGTATTTTGAGTCGGGTGGACAGATGACACAGATTCTGATATCGGTTTTCACAGGATGTGGGAGTCGGAGACGGTTTCGTATTACTGGACCGTTCTTAGGGGAAGTTAATTTGACGGCGAGATCATATTTGACAATCGCTGGATTCTGACCAGCCTCAGCTGCTCTTATATATCTTCCATTGCTGTCAGCTGAATCCTTGTAGCCTTGAAGGAGACAAACCGCATAGCATCTACCAAGGAAAACTTTGGCAATTGTTCAATATTCTCTTCCTTGAAAGATGTTCGGGATTTCTTCTTCTTCTTTATGGCTTCCTTCTTCTTTTTGGCCTGGTTCGATGCCATGGATTTTGGCGCTACATCTTTCTTCTTTCGTGGGGGCTTGGGCCCTCCTTTCTGCAGAGGCTGAGGTGTGTGGAAAAGTCTTATGCTAAGCGCAGGTAACGACAACCTTGTCAGCTGAATACTGAATTTGCTCAATTGAGTGGCGCAAGGCCGAACGATTGCCATTGGTAATTTTCCCCGAAAAGGATCTGGGAGTTTTCGTGCGGTTCTTTTCGGATGTAGGTAACCCGAAAAAGTTTATCCTCTCACAAGTGTGGTGGTGTAAATTATAAATATTGGTATCGCGTCGGTTCTGTTGTGAGATCGTGCACCATATATGTTGTAGTTGGAATAACACAGTATTACGTAAGACTGTACAGCTTTGCAAATACAGCTGTGCACGAAGTGGACAAAGGCTGGGCACCTGTCAGTGGTGTCCTACGAATTTGGGGGTAAAATATTCCCCTAATGCCGAAATTCAGTCACAACAAAAGGTGAATTTGAGAGTTTCCATCGAGTTGGCGATCGGGAGGAGCGGTGTTGGCTCATTTTTGGTCGAGAATCCAACTTGCAGAGATTTCACGACTGCACAACCCAACGAAATCAACTATCTACACCCCAGATACAAACAGCAGACAGGCTATAACCTGACTGATGTTCGTATTATAACAACCGACACCTTCAAGATCTTTTTTTTTCTGGAAAATCATTCTCAGCCAAACTCATCTTGCGGCCCTTACCACAATCATCTCACCACCTACCAGAGCAATCCCATACCTCCAAACGTCAAACCGCCAACAATGAAGCAAGAGAATGCCCGACCCTCCGCGACTACCAGTCGCTGTGAAGCTACGGTCGAAATGCCGGCCTTCAATGCGTCCTCATCTCGGCCAAGGGCACCAACAACTCGGCCTCCGACGAATCGCCACGGACAAAATACGTACGACATTTCGCCGGCGCACCAACTAGAGCGTTCGACAAAGGCTGGGGCACTGGTGCCTCGGTCTTGAGCTCTCAGTCACGTTTTCGACCTCCACGGTTAGGGGTACGGCAGCGACGGGGCAAGGCTGGAGAGGTGGAAATTCTACAAGCTTCCAGGATGACGAGTCTGGCTAAATGATAGAGGGATGCTACATGAAGGAACAAAAGGCAATGCAAACTTAGGAGGCCTCCAATGAAGAAAACGACCCATCTATGAGATGAGGAGATGCTGAGGTGAGCCAAAGCTGGGAATGAATCGAAGGTAAAAGTTACAGATGACGAAGGTGTCAAGGGCTCGGGAGCGTGGTGGCCGAGGCTGAGGAGGAATTAGCGCTTCGGCGCGCCAAAAGGGGGTTCTCTGCACGGTTGGGCTTGACATGACTCAGCACATGGGTGAAGTCTGAGGTGGTCCGGTCATTCAGGTGGGACGAGGTAGATGTACTTAACGGTAGTTAACCTGATCTAGCCCGACCCCACCCGTGCTTAAGCTCCAGTAGGAGTGTGACGGGAGTCTGAGGCTATAAGTTCCTAGGATGGTCTAGTGGTAAAATGTGGATATACGAAAATCGTAGGTCAACAGTGTCTCTGGATTTCTGCTATATCTTCTATATAGTGAAGTCTTAAGACGGTGTATGACTGTCCTCTAAATTTACAGGATGTGTCTGGTATATACAGATTTGTAGATTAGTGCACATTATGCATAAAGACTGGGGTACACGTGACAAATTTTAATACAATGTTTATGATCAGGGATCCCCAAGTCTTTTTTATTATTATTATTTATATCATTTAATGTGTATTCAGCCATAGAGCTATGACACATGACCGGTGCTATGTGTACATCTTGGATGACTCTTTTGACGTTAGAGACACTCATACTCTGGATGGATCCCCAAGTCAATGCGCCTAGCACTTTAATATTCAAAAGAAACCCCTCCTCTGACACCTGATTTAGGTTTTCACAATATATGCCTGCTTCTGCTGCCTGACGCCTTAGCATAGTCTAAGTGACGTTATATATTCCAGCATTAAATAGTTGTATATTGAACAACGCAATAATGAAAGAAAATTCCTGAGCTTAGGAGGAATACTTTTCGACTGATCCAGATAAAAAAAGGGCGATTAATTTGTGGATCATCTGTGATTCGAATTGGTCTATGCTGTATATATTTTTAGGCATGGAAATCGATAAGTGAGAGTGCCTTATGAGAGGCTCAATCGGTTTCAATATTATCAAATGGAAGACCTGCTCTGATGACTAGATGCCTCTGTCATCCATCACCGTGTAGATCGAATCTTCCGTGCCTTCATCTGCCTTGCATATTAGATCTTCCACGGAAAGCATGATTCATGTGATGGTTTAGGGACTGAGGATCTTGTAATGAAAGAAAGTAACCTTTTAGATGTTAAATATTTTGACGGCTCAGAGACCCATTATCTTGGGATTTAAGCTTCAGTTTCATACATGCATCATATGCAACATATCTGAGACTGAAATAGGATACATAGAATTGTTTAAAGCTATGGCATAAACTGTTATTATTAGGCAAATATGCACAAGTTACATCTTTACCTGGCTGCTGGTGACACAGGATGGCAACTGCGCACTGTACCGAGTTGATGATTATACTAATCACGTATTACAGACCTTCCGGCATTAAAGAGTCAGGAAGATAGATCTCTCGCTTCTGCTAGGCTACGGATAAAAGTGACTTGCAATGCTCCTTTAGAGGAGGATCACTCTTGAGCCACCGACTACGAATGTAAGATAGTAAAAATCAATCGTAGTTCCTTTAAGCCCTTATTAACACCTTACAATTATTATTTCATGCAACAAGACCAACACTACCTAGAACTCCAACGATGACCCCTTCCACCGTTAAAATTGAGGCATACGAAGTAACACGATGAGTTAAACATAGCTGTCTGGGGTCTTTCTCTAACAAGTATATTTTCCGCACGTGTAACTAGAAACTTCATTTTTGGAATATCGTGTTATTCCTACCTTTGCAAAGAAACAAGTGATCAGTTTACTAGCGCGTAGGTGGGAGTCTGCATCACTAGATTTGAGTTGATGGAACAAGGCTATAAGTGATTGCCTTGCAAGGATCATGCCTAGGATATTTAATCCCGTCGCCTATATACTTAAGCTAGGTGCAACCACCTAAAGAGTCCGTTTAACGTGCCGTAATGGAGTTCTATCAGATTTAGCGGTTCGCTTCAGTGATTACTTAGCCATAGAAGCTTGCTTACAGTAAATGTAGAGGGTTACCCTCCAGCTCACATCTTAGTAATGTCTATCATGAGACACCCATTTTTGTCCGAAGTGTGGCTGTAATAGATATACTTGTACTTTGGCAGTTTTTGGGTTTATTATGCTCTCCTGCGAATCATGATTGAACTTTATTTAGTAGTTGATTATCTTTTTTATAGCGTCATAAACTCCTATGAAAAAATTAGCAAATTTCTATGAAGCAGCACATTAATCACTTACTAGTAACGTCTGGAATGTTAAATCTCTCATACAATAACGGCATGTGTATACTCCAGCCTGCAACTCTCATGATTGGAGCCTCCAGTCTCAAAAATGTATCCTTGTCCTCTTGGATGCTTGCGGCAAGTTCAGCTCCAATACCAGCGTTTATCATGCTCTCATGTACCAGTATACATCTCCCGGTCTTTTTTACACTTTGAAGTACACATTCCTTGTCCCAAGGATAGACAGTTCTCAAATCAATCAGCTCAATATTTATTCCAAAATCAGCTTCAGCAGCTGAGATTGCAGCACTGCATGTGTAGATTGGCTGTCCATAAGAGATGATAGTTATGTCCTTCCCTTCCTTTAAGATTTCAGCCTTTGAAAGTGGTAATTTGTAAACTTCAGTGGGAACATGCTCATTTGTCGCCCGATAAAGGGCCTTGGGTTCCATAAATATACATGGATCGTTACTTGAAATAGCAGACATCAGCAACCCCTTTGCTTGAAGAGGAGATCTCGGTATGATTACTCGAAGACCTGGTATATGTGTGAATAAACTTTCTGGAGATTGTGAGTGATATCTAGGGGTCTGTTAGTCTTAAGTAATAGATTGATTAGCAACGCACAAAGCACCATGGCCGACACCACCGCAAGGCATTCTCACTGTCAGGCCACCTGCGTGTCTGCCGTGCGTTCCATCTCGATATCGGAACTTGGCTGCTTCGTTCACGAGTTGATCAAAGGCAGGATATATATAGTCTGCAAACTGAATTTCAGCAACAGCTTTTAAACCTTCTGCTGCAGCGCCAATTCCAAACCCTACAATTCCCTGCTCACATAGTGGTGTATTAAAGACTCTTTCGGCCCCATATCTCTCAAGTAGACCTAGACTACATCTGAATACTCCACCGAAAGCGACATCTTCCCCAAACAAGATAACTGAGTCGTCATTCGCCATTGAGAGTGATAAAGCATCATTTATGGATTGACATAGATTCATACGCTTTGTGGTTCCACTGCTAAGTTCTGACTTCAGCTCAGGGTTTGCGATTGCATCCTCAGCGTTATGTGCTAGGATAGGCGTAGAAGAAAAATCTATCGGAATGTTCAGTCTTGCTTTTGGAGAGCTTTGGAGAGCGTTTGAACTGAAGGCTTGGAGGGCCGCTGGATGTTTCATCCTCTGAAAAGTAGGTGCAATAAATGACCTCAATATCATGGAATGCATAATAGTAATTTTTCCAATCATTAACTCGGGAATCCATCCGTTGTAAATTCCAGTTCATTAGTATAATTATCCAGAGAGTTCAGCCGCTCGATTTCCAAGTCTGTAGCGAGGGGTTGTTGTTGGACCGTAGATAAGCGGCTGCACACAGGCCCTGTGCGCAGTGCCTTCTGACCAAAGTTCGGCCAGCATCTGTATATCTCCATTGCTCTCACACGAAGGCGAACAGACCGTCCGCTACTTTAAGTGTCGTAGTTGTTAGTAAGCGTCTGGTATGTCCGACGTTGCAGTGTACTCGGACATCCCAGTTTATGGGGCGCCGGAACAAATGATACGAGAGATTGTTGCTATGCCAACTTTATTTGATTGCCGAGAGTTTTGGTGAACAATTAATTCTTCAGGACAATGTTGAAGCGGTAATGGCTCCCAAGACGCCGAAATCCAGAAATAGACTATACGAAGACAGAGACAAGTCTCGGAAACACAGACGAAAGCATGTTTCTCGGCAGTCGCAATCAGGTATTCCTCTATCCGCCGAAGCGTTGGCAAAGCTTGACAAACTCAATCGAAAGAGCACCAGAAGAATACCTGAAGTAAAAATAAAGAAAACGAGGAATCATGAACGAATAAGAAACACCGATGAAAAGAAAGATCCCAACCTTGATAATCCTTATTCGAAACGGAAAAGACGTCGGCGGCGAGTTGTGAGTGGAGCCTTACTAGAGGAAGGGCGGGAGCCAAAATTAAGGGAGTACAGAAGCGGTAAAAGAGATCAAGGGGACTCAATTAGCAGGGGCCGCAGGAACAAATCACGATGTATACTACTCCTGGTGTGGGTAGATGGAACTATTGGCGGCTAACTGCATAGTAGGGATTTGGATAGGTATTGCTCTGATCATATTCACCATCATCATGATGACTTTAGCTTTTAGCAAGAAGAAAAAAAAGAATTCAAGTATTGCAGCAAAAGTCCTTCCGGGCGACAGCGAAGAGCCATCAAACTCCAATCTGCATTCAATTTCCGAATCTAGTATACCAGAAGCAGCAAAAGGAACGTATCTTGACCCGTTTTCTTGGTACGATACGACTGACTTTAATGTTACATATACGAATGAAACTGTGGGTGGACTTCCTATTATGGGATACAACTTATCATGGGATGATTCAAAAAGTGCAACTCCACACACACCTCCAATTTCCAAACCATGGGGCTCATATTCCGAGAGACCAGCTCGGGGAGTAAATCTGGGTGGTTGGCTTTCTTTGGAGCCATTCATAACCCCATCCCTGTTCAACAACGCTGGAATAGTAGATGAATACACGTTAGTAAGCCATCTTGGAAATTCTGCCAAACGCACACTAGAAAAGCATTATGCTTCATTTGTCAACGAGCAAACATTTGCCGATATCGCGAATGCAGGTCTAGATCATGTCAGAATACCATTTTCTTATTGGGCCGTAGCTATCTACGATAATGATCCATATGTTTTCCGGGTTTCTTGGAGGTACTTGCTACGAGGCATCGAATGGGCTCGAAAATATGGTTTACGAATAAATTTAGACCTTCATAGTCTACCCGGAAGCCAGAATGGCTGGAACCACAGCGGGCGTCTGGGGCCTATCGGTTGGCTCAACGGCACCCATGGAAGTTTGAATGCTCAACGCTCGCTCGAAATACATAATCAGCTGTCTCAGTTTTTTGCCCAAGATCGGTATAAGAACATCATATCATTCTATGGGCTCGTCAACGAGCCCAAAATGACCGCGCATGATGTTAAGACAGTCGAAGATTGGACGGACGAAGCATTTACTCTGGTCCGCAAGAACGGAATAAAAGCCCATATTGTGTTTGGTGATGGGTTTATGGGACTCCCAAACTGGAAAGGGAAGCTTCAAGGTCACGACGGGTTGGTCCTTGATGTTCACCAATATGTTATTTTCAATAAAGATCTTATTGTATTTAACCATACCAAAAAAATTGAATACGCATGCCAAGATTGGTCAAAACAGGCCGAGGAAAGCATGGACTTATCCACCGGATTTGGGCCGACAATATTTGCAGAATGGTCACAGGCTGATACAGATTGTGCGCCGAACTTGAATAATGTCGGCTGGGGTACGCGCTGGACTGGCACCTATAACTCAGGAGACCCATCTACGACCGTTCTCAAGCCAGGATGCCCGCTTAAGAATTCACAGTGTGATTGCAGTAGGGCCAATGCCGACCCTCGAACATACAGCAATGCATACAAGCAGTTTTTGCAGACCTTTGCGGAGGCTCAGATGGCAAGTTTTGAGAAGGGATGGGGATGGTTTTACTGGACCTGGGAAACTGAAGCCGCGACACAATGGAGCTACCGACTCGGTCTCCAAGCCGGAATCCTGCCAGAAAAGGCGTACGCACCTCAATTTACATGTTCCAAAGCAATTCCAAGCTTTGATCAGCTCCCAGAATACATGTGACGAGATTCTAGGCCATAGAGAGCAATTTACCAATACTGAACGACTTTATGTACTGTAGTGGACATTTATTTGGCACTTTTATGGCGTATCTGGATGGCAGCATTAAACGCTACAGAAGCGTGTTGGGAGTTTGGTGTCCGGTATTGGGTCCACAAAGTCAAGGAGTCTATATCTCAACTTTTAATACAAATATTAGCACGTTGCTCTTCGTCGTCGCTAATAATTTAATTCTTATTCACATTCTGTTGCCATCGCTTTCCTTATTGCCTTCATATATGGAAGCCATTCAGTGATGTATATTAATCAAGAAACTCGCGTGTACAGGGCATTGGAATTAACCACGTTGAACCATTTATTTAACGCTTGCACTCTACAAAGTCTTGTACAAAGCAAGTAAGTCTAGACTGCTTCGGCGAGTTTGAGATGGGTCAGATCCGCCGTTTCCTGTGGAAACTCAAGGGAAAAAAGACAATTGGCTAGTGGTCAAAAGCCGGCATGAACTCAAATCATAAGATTCTATACTGTAGAGCAAAGTTTTGTTTTGTTCATTAACGTGCTAGGTATAGTGATTCCCTTTGCACTCCTACTGGAGCTTAAGCACGGGTGGGGTTGGGCTAGATCAGGTTAACTACCGTTAAGTACATCTACCTCGTCCCACCTGAAAGACCGGACCACCTCAGACTTCACCCATGTGCTGAGTCATGTCAAGCCCAACCGTGCAGAGAACCCCCTTTTGGCGCGCCGAAGCGCTAATTCCTCCTCAGCCTCGGCCACCACGCTCCCGAGCCCTTGACACCTTCGTCATCTGTAACTTTTACCTTCGATTCATTCCCAGCTTTGGCTCACCTCAGCATCTCCTCATCTCATAGATGGGTCGTTTTCTTCACTGGAGGCCTCATCTAGTCGCCCACCAAGGCCTCCTCAGTTTGTATTCCCTTTTGCATTCTTCATGCAGCACTGTAGAGAAAAGTGTTTAAGAAGATGTTACGGGTTTACCCGCCACTGGTTGTCTGGGCTGACCAGCGTGTCCAGCCTTGCACATAATTCAGACATGGCGAAAGGCTGGGCCTTTCGCACAGAACAAGTTCTCTCCGTAGAGCTTACGTAAGGTAATTGTCAGGGCGCACTTTGTATCCGCACGATCCAGTTGCAGTTGTCTCTCCCATAGATGAATATTAATTATTTATGATATTGCTTGCGTGCACTGACCGTCTGCTTTAACCGTTCACAGACGATATGAATCTCAACATATGTCATAGGAGTTCAACTGCTCAAATAAAGTCGCCAACACGAAACCTCTTGTCCCTCATTGTCTACAATCCAAGGGTTTCGCATGAAAACTAATAACCGCGAACTACCTTTCGTATCGTGATTCGTCACTCACAAGACTCTTGTGTTAATCTAGTCGTTGGAATATCTGGAGCGACCCTGTGTTGGCTTACCGACTATTAGACCGATGATCACGCGGCCAGTAAAAATGTCGGGGCATCACATGGCATGAAATAATGGAGAGAACGGTGGAATTTGGGAAAGAAGAAACCACACCAGCGGCATTTACAATAACTAGCGCTGCAAAATCAGCAAACGACCAAGGGTTCATACTGGTGTCTCACCAAAGGCCGGAAGTACTCAAGAGAGGGCCAGGACGCCCGCGCGAACAGCTCCTGGTCAATCCCCCACCACAAGTATTTGGACCATCAGGGTCAAGTTCCCGACCACAGTCGTCTCCTTTCAGCACGCGAGGGCAGGGAAAGGATGGCGAGATTCAATACAATTTTAGCTAGTCCTGTCTCGGACTCAAGGCCAATTGCACTTCTAATATGTAACGAGGGACTATGGACGAAAATAAAATTTAATAGGGGGGATATGGGGGTTTATTGTAATGGTTTCCTGCGGAAAGCAGCTAAGTTCTAGCAATGCCGACATACTGGACGTCAAAGAATAAGTTGCCAGAAAATTCCTCTTACTCGTCATAAAAATCTGACGAGGGCCCAAAGTAGCTCAGCAATCCGAATTCGAAGCGAGCACATCGGGCTCGATTCGTATTTGCATAGAAAAGTACCGGGAGTCTACGATTCATGCTGTCCGTGTGGCTACCAATCACAAAATGCCAAGCACATGATCATGTCCTGGCCTAAGTGGTCAAGCGGTAGGGGTGGGATCTGGAGACAAGCCAAAGACCGGTCCTACGAAGCAATGATAGACTATCCTGGTGATATTAAAAGAATTACGCAATGGATTCTCAGTCATGGTTGGATAGATCAATTCTGCATGACAAATGCAGTCGAAATTCTGCTCAGGGAATGAGAAGGAACATGTAGAAGGTTGGGGTCGATAGAAGGGACGTGATTGGTACACATTGACAGCGTTATAGTGTAACTGTACTTTCTGAAGGATAAATTGCAAACTATAAGAATTAAATCAGAAAGCTTGGGGGCTTTTCACCGAGAGGTTTCCTCCTATGTAAATATATAGAAAGGTTTATAGCCACCTGTATGGGCCCAGAGGGCTCCAAATCGGGTTAATTGAGGGGGACTATTCTCTGCACCTCTCAGTGGTGTCCCCTGCGAACCTCCAGCTCTCACCGTAGAGTCTGCAGAGCCGAGTTTAAGTAACACCTCTATCCTCACTTCCACGATGATTCCCCATCGCTTTCGCGGTCTGTATCGTCTTCATCTCTCAACACATTCCCCTATCACCACTATCATTAAGCTAACCACAATCACATCAGATGGTAGGGTCGGGGCTCTATTCTTGATCAAGGAGGAAAAGCCATCCAATGAGTTTCCGGAGCGTACCCAGCACCGGATACCGATATGGTGGATCGGATCAAGTCGGCCTCGACTGTTACAAAGAAAGGAGATATAGATGAATATGCGCACCTCATGTGGTCTCGGTGTCTAGGCCGCGCCTGGTTGGGGCTGCAAGTTTTTTGAGACTTTTTTCCGGCGCACGCAGTTTCCATTGCTACCATTTTTTATTTTTCTTGGGTGGAAGGTTCCGTGGAAGAGGTGGCTGAATTCCACGGGTAAACACTGAGCTGAATGGCTATTCATCAAGGGGAATATATCAATGATCTTACAAGTAGAAAAAGAGGATATGAGCACTGTACAAGATGTGGCCTGGGTCAGAGAGGAGCCCAATGTGCTAGATAGTCATAGACTCAAGTAGTACAAAAAACACACACAGGTTTAATGAACCCAAATTCAAACACGATAGTGACAAATTACCTCGCCATCACTTGAAGTAACAACTACGTAATTTAGATCTCTGGTACCATCACTTGTGATAAAAAAATTATTCTCTATGTGCAATTAATTAGCAAGTGGTCTTTAAAAGTTTTAAATTCTCAATCACCATTTTGGTCATCTTCCATTTTCATAGGAATAAAATACGGTTTTTTATATTTTATGGCCATATTTTCACAATAAGTGTTGGGAGACACTAATGCTCTACCACTTAATTTTATTGCATTGATGCGAGCTTTGATGTTAGCCAATGGGTCGCTCATTGTAGATGAACAATCTGAGGACCTTGGGACTAGCAAAGCTACAGAAATTGATGTTGCTTGACTTAATAGCACAGTTATTCCAGTAAGCTGTAGAAACTTCATTCTGTTCAAGCCTTGAATTACTAAAGTATAAAGTATAGATTTTATCTCTATCCACTCACATGTTATTTTGCTCAGGAATTATCTATATAACGTGTTGTAGTGGAATAAAATACAACCTCACTAAAATTGTTACTTGGACAGGGCTGGTTTCTTGTAAATTGAAGGCAAGGAAGCGAGAGAAGAGGATGACTTTATAGGTGAAATTGGCATGCTATTTTTACTCGGACTAATGTCACTATGACCAAAACTAAAATGATGGATTCTGAGTTTAATTTAAGATCCAAGAGCCGAACGGCCTCATGGAATATTATGACACATAATAATTTATCACTCATTTGACTGTTCCCTAATGCCGGCAAAGACGAATTCTTCACCTTCCAGTGGTGCCGGTGCAATCGCTCAGTATACTCTGCATATATGGGATAGCCAAGAAGAATCGCATCCGAATCAAAGTCGAAAGCAACCTCAAACACATCTCCATTTGACGAATTCTCGACCAATGCCTCTCTTACCATTCTCATCTGAGTCCTCAACCCATCTCTAACCACGCATCAGCTCGCCTCAACGACCAATAAAGAAGTTGCTCCAAATGCATACAGGAGCTTGTCCCATTAATTTCCAGCCATCTCTCACTATATATTTACGACGCTATTTATACCCGCAAGGAGGAAATCAAGTCGAAAAATACAAGGCCTGGGTCTTGGCTTATGAGGGACTGTTGCTCTAATGAGGCAAACAATTTAAGGGGGAACAGGTCTCTGAAAAATATGCTTGGACCGATACTTTCGAGGGATTTTCAATTTTCGATGTTTTGTTGGCGTCAAGACCAAGATTTCGGCTCATTAATCAGGAGGACTACTATTGTCGATGAGTCATCGGCACTCCCCAGCGCCCTGGGCGGGAAAAGAAGTTGGGCTAAACTACCATACAGCAATTACGCTCTGTCAAGACTTTTCTCGCATTTCAGCACGACCTTCGGGAAGGAGTTGGAAGGAGGCTAGAAAGGCAGAGGGTGAATTCTCCGAGGTACCCACAAGTCTGCAGCGCTCAGCTGGCCGGCCTCTTTGAATGCTCCAGAAGGGTCACTATGTCTCTTGGTTTAGTCCTAATGTTGGTATCAGGAGAGCCCCGTAGCCAGCGGTTTTTGAGACTTTTCTCTGCAGCTATACATCCACAAATGGCCATCGTCGTTGGTTGGAGAGGGGAGATAATGACGGGGTGACGGCTCCTCTTAGTGTGTACTCGAATGAAGACCTATGGGGGTATTACTGCTGGAAAGAAGTCGTGAGGGAGGCAAAGGAGGGAGTACACTACCCGAGGCATAGATACTCCCAGCCTGTAGGCAGAAAGGACCTACATGTCCTTACATAGTTATAGACTTTTTAGGACAATAAACACTTACTGTGACAGAAACCGAGTTAGTTGGGAATAAATCGATTTATTAAGCTGTATGAGGGGAAAAGAGAACTATTGCTACAACTAACAGGTATTTATAAGAATTGGTCCCCTTAGTCAATCTCCAGACTGATGACTTATCCTTAGGCACAATACTTGCTACCCAGCCACGCATTGCCAGGTGTCACTTAGTTGTAGTAACGCTTCGACCTCCTGACTAGTAGTGCCGCCTTGTTCAGCTTCATCTATCCCCCCCCCCCCCCCCCCCCATGCAGCCTTGTTGTAAATATTCCCAACAATCCGCTTAGGTATTCACCTAAGCTCAAACAACGGTCAAACTGTAACATTACCCCCTCATTTGCCCTCTTACTCTCTCCTTCCTTGACGCTGGCTCGTTGTTGGTCTCTGCTGAGCCCCACTTCTTCTCCCAAACATCGAGTGCTGCAGCATCTTGTAGATTTGTGAGCGATGTCCACTCTGGTAGCGCCATCCCAGTCCACTTGACTAAGGCCTGTCTCTCTCCATTCTTTGTCCTACATCTTAGAACTTCGTCAATCTGATATTCTTCTTTGCCATCAATTTCAATTATTGGACCTGGATTTTCGTCTTCTAATTTTTGCGACCGCAACGGATTTTCATCTGCTGGTAAGAGTGAATCTACATGAAAACGGTTATGTATATTCCCAGGGATATCGAGTTGCACTACTTCCGGCGAAATGAGTTTAGTGACTGTGCACTTTGCATGTTGCCATCCCAACTTCTTAGAAGGTTGATCTTCTAATCTAATATTCTGCAGTAGTAGCCAAACTTTATCACCGACTTCATACCTTGGCGCTGGTTGCCTCTTTCTATCCGTGAAGTCCTTGTAGCGTTCTTGAATAGCAGCCATTGCGGATTGCATGAAAATCGTAACATTTTGTAATCTTTCGACAAAATTTTCAGCCCTTTCTTTTTCTGTAGATACTGAGATTTTTGACTGTTTGGTAATGATTTGGATTGGGTTGACATGATAACTGTGTGTTGCGAAAAATGGGCTTATGCCACCTAAAGACACTACATCTCTATTATTAATCGCAAGCTGAGCCGCAGCGAGACAATTAGACCAGTCGTGCTGAGTGTAAGAAACGTACGCTCTCAAGTAAGTCTGGTTTTCCTGATTCATTCTTTCCGTTGCTCCATTAGTTTGAGGATGATAGGCTGTGCTTAGCCTCTGTTCAATTCCAACCAATTCGCATAGTCTTCTCCAGAATTTACTTGTCCAATTAGTCCCTCTATCGCTAGTTAAAGCTTTTGGAAATCCATGATAGCGCCAGTGACATTCTACAAATCTTTTAGCACAAGATTCTGCATCCATTTTATCCATAGCCTCCAGTGTCACTGATTTCAACAATCTATCAGTAATTACCATGATATTTGTTGAGCCATTTGATTTGGGAAGGTCCACCATAAAGTCAATAGAAAGCTCTTGATGGAATCTTTCAGGTACTGGTAGCGGTTTAAGAAGCCCTTGTTTCTGGTGTCGCCAGATTGATGACCTCCTGCATACATGACAGTTTTAACAGAACCGTTTAACTGATTTACTTATTCCAGGCCAAAAATATACACGAGCGACCTGGGCAAGCGTTGCATCTCTCCCTGAACGGCCGATAATAGCTGAGTCATGGATATTCTGGATGAGTGCAGTTGTTAGAGGCTCATATAAAGTTACCCATATCCGTCCTTGGTAGCAAACTACACCAAAACTATCGTCAAATTCACAAGCGGCGATCGTCGCCTTAATTGGGATAGGCTCCTCCGAACCTTCTATTTTTAATTTGAGGTCCTTGGGCCACGCACGATCTCCACTTCGAACCGCATTTACGACCTGAATATACCTTTCATCGTTATTTAACACCTGGTTCCAAAGTTCCTGTAAATTCTCGTTGACAAATATTTCATGGCCTTCTGCAACATTAGTACCATTAATACATAACTTTGACGCATGAATTGGTGTTAAGACCTGGCACTCGCGGCTTAAGAGTCGTGGGTCGCCTTCCATAGGTCTATCTTGATCCCTTCTCGAGAGTGCATCTGGCCGTTCATTATCTACCCCTTTCCTGTACACGAGTTTATACCTGAATTGGGATAGAAATTCTGCCCATCGATTCTGCCGCTCTGTCAGCCTTCTCGTTGTGAGGAAGTACTTCAAATTCATATGATCACTTAGGATAGTGAAAGCGGGTGCTAGACCCCGTAGCTCTGCGTCCCATTCTTTCAAACTTGCTACAATGGCTAGGAGTTCTTTGTCATGAATTTCATAGTTCATTTCTGCCCCAGTCAGCTTCCGAGAGTAGTATGCCACAGGTTTCCATAGGCCAATTTCTTGCTTCTGTAACAAGCATCCACCAAGGGCATAACCGGAGCAATCTGCTTCCAACATTGTTTCGCGATCGGGATCCCATTGGGCCAGAGCAGGCTCTACAACGAACTTTTCCTTGAGCAATTCAAATGCATCATTTATGAGGCCTGATAGTTCAGTGGTAGAATTCTTGCTTTGGGTTCCCCTACATGTAAGAGGTCTCCGGTTCGATCCCGGATTAGGCCCGAACACGCCAGTATTTGGGGGACTATTCTCAACACCTTTCAGTGGTGTCCCCTACGAGCCTCCAGCTCTCACTGTAGAGTCTGCAGAGCCGAGATTGAGTAATAAAGTCCTCACTTCGAAGAGGATTCCCAATCGCTTTTGCGGTCTGTATCGTCTTCATCTCTCAACACATTCCCCTATCACCACTATCATGAAGCTAACCACGATCAGATCAGATGGTAGGATCGGAGCCCTACTCGTCACCCACCCTTGATCATGGAGGAAAAGCCATCCGATGAGTTTCCGGAGCGTACCCAGCACCCGATACGGAGATGAAGGATTGGATCAAGTCGACCTCGACTGTTACAAAGAAGGGAGATATAGATGAATATGCGCACCTCATGTGGTCCCGGTGTCTAGGCCTCGCCCGGCTGGGGCTGCAGGTTTTTTGAGACTTTTTCCCGGCGCACGCAGTTTCCATTGCTACCATTTTTTATTTTTTTGGGGTAGAAGGTTCCGTGGAAAAGGTGGCTGAATTCCATGGGTAAATACTGAGCTGAATGGCTATTCATCAAGGGGAATATATCAATGATCTTTCAAGTAACAAAAGAGGATAGGAGCACTGTACAAGGTGTGGCCTGGGTCAGAGAGGAGCCCAATGTGCTAGATAGTCATAGACTCAAGTAGTACAATAAAACACACACACATAACATAACAAATGCATCATTTTGTTCAGAGCCCCACTTCCAAGGTGTACCCTTGCCTGTCAGAGAAGTTAGAGGTGCACAGATTCTTGAAAATCCCTTGATAAAGCCACGATAAAAATTGGCGAACCCTAAAAATCCTCTTAGTCCTTTTGTCGTTGTGGGTGCCTTCCATTCCGATATTGCCTGGACCTTTGCAGGATCCATCTTGACTGCAGAATTCTCACCATCAGAAGATATGATGAAGCCCAAGTATTTAGTCTCTTTAACACTAAACTCGCACTTGTCAATATCTAATCCTAGTCCTGCCTTCTGAAGCTTTTTAAGAACCAATCGCA